ACCACCATGCCCAGCTAATTTTTCTTGTGTTTTTAGTAGAAACAGGATTTCACCATGTTGGCCAGGAATGGTCTCGATCTCTTGACCTTGTAATCTGCCCACCTCGGCCTCCCAAAGTGCTGGGATTACAGGCATGAGCTGCCACACCCAGCCTCACAAGTCATATTTTGACAGTTGTGTGTGTGTGTGTGTGTGTGTGTGTCTGTTTTTTGGGGTTTTGTTTTTATTGTTTTAGAGATGAGGTCTTGCTGTGTTGCTCAGGCTGGTGTTCAACTGCTGAGCTCAAACAGTTCTCCCACCTCAGATTCCCAAAGCACTGGGATTACAGGCATGTGCCACCGTGCCCAGCCTGTGTCTGTTTTATTAGTGTTGGACTGGGCTAGGGTGATAGAGTAGTGGGTAAAACAAGTACACTCCTCAGCCCGGGCAACATAGGGAGACCCCCATCTCTACAAAAAAAATCAAAAAATTAGTCAGGCATAGTGACATGTGCCTGTAGTCCCAGCTACCTTGTAGGCTGAGGTGGGAGGATTGCTTAAGCCCAGGAGGTGGAGGCTGCAGAGAGCCGTGATTGTGCCACTGCACTCCAGTCTGGGTGACAGAAGGAGAGCCAGTGTCATAAAGAAAAATAGATGGGTGTATTGCTGGCTCTAGTGGACCTTGCTGTCCAAGAGAGGAGTCAGATATTGTGACACACATCTACATATTTAATTAGTTTGTGAAGGCTGGGCGCGGTGACTCACGCCTGTAATCCCAGCTCTTTGGGAGGCCAAGGCGGGCAGATCGCCTGAGGTCAGGAGTTCAAGACTAGCCTGACCAACATGGTGAAACCCCCATCTCTATGAAAAATATAAAAATTAGCTGGGCATGGTGCTATGCATCTATAATGCCAGCTACTCAGGAGGCTGGGGTGAGAGGATCACTTGAACCTGGGAGGCAGAGGTTGCAGTGAGCCGAGATCATCCCACTGCACTCCAGCCTGGGTGGCAGAGCAGGCTCTGTCTCAAACGAACAAACAAAATTAGTGTGTGAAAAGTACAATGAAAAAAAGGATGCAGGTGCTGTAAGTAGGATGAGATGGGGGTTTATGACAGATTCGTCGGTCAAGGAAGATCTAAGGAGCCAACACTTAAGCGGAGACCTAAAGGAGGAATAGGAAGCGGCCATGCAAAGTGCAGGGGCGGCATCGGGGGGAAGAGCCGCCGTGGCTGGAGCTGCGCTGGCCTTTCAGGGAAGAGCCAGGCGCCGGGCCTTAATGGTTCTGGTGAGGAGTAGAGAGTTTTAGGTAAGAGTGACATAGTCACTTTCACCTTCTAAAAAGCTCCTTCTAGCCGCTGTGTGGAGGGTGAACTCAGGTGGATAATCAGGAACCTCCACATTGCTGGCTGTGGAGGGTGTGAGGAATACCAGGCCACATCAAGGCCCATAAGGGTCAGCTGCCGCAGAGTCCCCTCTGCCACCACTGCTGCCACCAGCAATTTTTCAGGAATATGCTACAACCCACTGTGACATAAATGGGTTCAAAAATGGCAATTGGTAGACTAGGGGTTGCATAGCTGAAAGTTAATTAAAACCTTATTTCTAGCCTGGGCAATATAGGGTGACTTTGTCTCTACAGTTTTTTTTAATTGGCCAGGTGTGGCGGTGCATGTCTGTGGTCCCAGCTACTCAGAAGGCTGAGGTGGGAAGATTGCTTGAGCCCAGGAGGTAGAGGATTCAGTGAGCCATGATTACACCACTGCGTTCCAGCCTGGGCGACAGAGCACGATCCTGTTTAAAAGACAATAAAAACAATTCTCAGACAATCTTACAATTACTATGTGAGGGAAAGGGGAAAATGTTTTCTATTCGTTAACAGATGTGTAGGAAGTAGAACAGTTACTACAAACAAAGCATCAGCTTGAATTGAACTGATAGCACCCCAAATGATTGTGGGGTATTCATCTATAACCACCCCATATGCATACATCCTCTAAGAAAAGAGCTTGAACCTGTCACCATTCCAGAATGTGAGCAAAGTCCAGTGATGTTTCATCCACATGCACATTATCCTGAAATCTCTCTCTCTTTATTTTTTTTTTTGGGATGGTCTTGTTCTGTTACCCAGGCTGCAGTGCAGTGGTAAGATCTCAGCTCACTGCAACAACCTCCATCTCCCGGAAGGCTGAGACAAGTTAAAGTGATTCTCCTGCCTCAGCCTCCCGAGAAGCTGGGATCACAGGCACCTGCCAACACACCCAGCTAATTTTTGTATTTTTAGTAGAGATGGGGTCTGGCTGTGTTGGCCAGGCTGGTCTCGAACTCCTGGCCTCAAGTGATCTGCCCACCTTGGCCTCCCACAGTGCTGGGATTACAGGCATGAGCCACCGCACCTGTCCCCCCACCTTTTTTTTTCCTTAGAGACGGTGTCTTTCTGTGTCTCCCAGACTGGAGTGCAGTGGAGCTAACATCACTCACTACAGCTTTGATCTCCTGGGCTCAAGGAGTCCGGCCTCCACCTCCTGTGTAGCTGA